GCGGGTATTATCGATCTTGTTATCCAGAGCTATTTTATGGAATATGATACACAATGTAAAGTTTTACGTATGAATAAACAAAATTATCGAAGGATTCTAATATATATGAACATATCGAACCTAGAATTAGATCTTGCACTATTCCTCCTGAATCCTTTGCTTTCTTTTTTGTAAGCCTATGTTTCCAAGCACATGATTTATGAAATGTGTGTAATACATGTATTGCTGAATAAGTTATTTTAATCATGTTTTTTTTTAATATTCTTTTTGTTTTTCTTATTTTTAGTTTCTTCTATGTTCACTTGCACATTGTAGATGTCTTGTCACTAGAAGAGTATGAAGAAAAAAGAATCTTGCCTTTTTTGTGTACATTAGTCTGCGATCGCTATCGATGAATGACTACAACAACACTTTTTCTTTTTTGCCTGATTGCTATTGTACTTTTTGCATTTGTTGTGCCCGGTTTCGGTCCAGCTAATCCATCTAGGCTGAAGGTATTGGTTATATCTGCAATAGATGGTTGAGTCTTAAAACTATACTGATTCGATATAGCATGTTTTCATTTGCTTATTGACATTTTATTCCACGCTTGAGAATGTTATTGAAATCTAAAGCAAGAACAATAATCTGTTTGTTTCATTAAAGTAGACTTTTATCGAATGTAAGAAAGCATGACTGACATAACTCGTTATATAGTGCATACATGAAATTTTTTGAAGGAGAAAATGCGAGACTTCGTACTTCACTCGTACTTCAGAAGTATTGAAGTCTCACTTTTCTCCCTTGTCTATGTGTATGACAAAGAAGTTGCCTCTTTCCGCTTCAGGGATAAACCCGCTCTCACTTCTGAGAACGGACTCTCTTTTGTTTTTATATCATTCAGTCTTTATTTAATATTTGTTGATGTTTTCTTATTTCATACTCGTGAATGTCAGCTATGCTTACTTATCGCAAAGAAATCGATGGACTACGAGCACTTGCCATATTATCAGTTATTTTTTATCACGCCGGTTTTGTTCTGCTGTTTCCTGGAGGTTATGTTGGTGTTGATATATTTTTTGTTATCAGTGGCTATCTGATTACATCACTTGTCGACATAGAACTCAGAGAAGGAACATTTTCGCTTATTTATTTCTATGAAAGACGGTGCCGTCGTATAATTCCAGCACTGTATGTCATTTCGTTCATTAGCTGCTATTTCGCTTACCATTGGATGCTCCCTGGTCAACTAGAAGAGCTGGGATATTCTCTGATTTCTGTTATCACTTTTTCTTCGAATATATTCTTTTGGTGGAGAGACGATAAATATTTTTCACGACAAAGCGAGTTAAATCCTATGGTTCATACGTGGAGTTTGGCTGTAGAAGAACAGTTCTACCTTATTTTCCCATTGCTGTGCTATCTTCTCGCCAGAAAGCGGCGTTGCCTGGTCGTTCTTCTTTGGTTTTTCATGCTGCTCAGCTTTTTTCTTGCGCAATGGGGAGGCAATATCGAATCTGTCTCAAGTACTACATTTTACATATTTCGACAACATGTTTTGGCATCATTTTACATGCCTATAGGGCGCGCATGGGAAATACTAATTGGTGCTTTCACCGCACTTTACTTTAGGACTAAAGATTCAGTCACGTATGTATTATATTTTTAAAATCTTTTCTCTTCGAGACTGTTCATTGTACTGACGCAAGAAGGGTGTGGGTGTGAATAAAAGAAATACAGACTCTGGCGGCCGCAATCTGCACGCACACCCATCCACATCCACACCAATATTTGACTCACCGAAAGGCTTCTGCGTAGGTTGCAAGTCTGGAAACACGATCAATGGTTTGTACTGGTTTACTGACTGGTTTAGTCCGTTCTGAAAAAAATCCTATCAGTTGCAACTCTGAATTAATTCAGTAGTACAATTTTCATCATAAGACTTCTCAACTAAATGGATCAGTTCATGCTTACTAACTCGATCCAAAATCATGTAGTTATCAATATCATTGATATCTTAAAATTTTTTCAACAAGCTTTCTATACTGTTCATAAATACATTCATAAAAATTAAATGTACATTGTAATCAGCAATAGAGTTCTATAGAGCCATTAAGATAATCCATATAATATAAGCCAAATTAGCATCCAGTGTGTCAGCTTCTCGAACCCCTACTAACTGAGGAAATGTATCACATTGCAAAGACATCACCACTTTCATGAGGATTTTGACAGAAACCGGGATTTGACGCATGTCCCTCGCCTAGCCAAGTTTATGCTATTTTGAGATATTTACGAGTGTTCACCTATTATACGAGGTGTCAAGAGAATCAGTCTAATGCAGGAAGTGCAATTATTTTTAATTTGTATGTATTGCACATTATTAAATGTCTTGAAAATTCTTTTCAGCTCTAGAAAATTGCCCACTTTATGGACACAACTTTTTTCTTTACTCGGACTCCTGATGATTATGATAGCTGTCCTATTATTCGACAATCGTTCCATACCTCCATTTCCTAACTGCTATACATTGGTGCCTACGTTAGGAGCAGCTTTGATTATTATCTTTGGAGAACATGACACATATGTCGGACGTTTTTTATCTGCAAGGCCATTACGTTGGTTGGGTCTAATCTCTTATAGTGCCTATCTTTGGCATCAACCTTTATTGGTGTATCTTCGTCTGCGATCAATTGAAATGCGAAATATCTCGTATATCAGTTTCATCATTGTTACCGTTTTGCTACTTTCTACACTCAGCTACTTCTTTGTCGAACAACCATTCCGTAATCGAACTTTCTTTTCCCAGAAGCAAATATTCTCTATTTCAGGGATAGGTACACTTTTAATGTTTCTTATCGCATTGTTTCTTATTCGTACCGCCCATAATCGATATTTAATAATGAGCAAAGGAGAAGATACATATTTGCATGATATCGTACCCGATGACCTCTCAAACTATGTTACTGGCAGATTTAACGATCACATGAGAAAGTATCCAACGTTTTCAAATGCATCAGCAATAACAAATAGAAGAATTATACTCATTGGTGATAGCTTTGCACAAGACTTTATAAACATGGCTGTAGAAACACACAGTCTAACTGACTATGAAATACGCTGCCATTATGTTAGAGTCCAGTGCCAAATGTATATGGGTCCCGAGGATAGACTACAATGGATTGCTCCGGGACATAGACAGCTTTGTATCAATGATAACGATATTAGATTTGGATTGCCACTCATTCGCCAGGCGAATATCATCATACTAGCAGGTTGCTGGCTTGAATGGAGTGCGATACGATTGCCAAAAACAGTAGAATTACTAAATCTAACACGGAGCCAAAAATTGTTTATTTTAGGAGTGAAGAACTTTGGCAAAATGAACCTTACATTGTATGTGAACAAATCGTATGAGTATCGCGTACAACAATTGCAACACCCAGAAGAGGATTTTGTGAAAGTGAATACAATAATGAAACGAACTTGGAAGAAGTCAATATTTGTCGATATATTGAGTATGACTTGTAACCGATACAACGGTACGTGCCCTGTTTTCACTCCAGAAGGAAAACTAATTGCATATGATGGTTGGCACGTAACGAAGTATGGTGCTCGATATGTAGGTGACATTATTTTTAAAAAATTTCCGCTAAACCAATTGTAAAATGTAATCAATATAATAAATAGCGCTCATGATCCTATAAAAGAATATGCGAATGTTCATTCAGTAGATTGTGATCATTTGTGACTGTTGCCTATTCTTTAATTATAGTGACGGTCACAAATGCGCGTAATTGTCTTACAGTATTCTAGTACCCAGAAATCGAAAAGCTGCGTAAAGTCTCGATTAAGAAAACCTTTATCAGAGTATGAGACTCGATGGAAACAAGCCATTGACTTCACTTTTTGCCATTCGCTAAAAATTGACAGAAAGGGACCAAGCGAACTTGGTCCAATCAGACTATACGTCCTAATCACATCATTGAGATTGATCCAATTTTTTGACAGAATGTTTGTTTCCGGAAATGAAAGTGCTTCGAAGTCGGAAAAAGATTAGAAACCGTATCTGAGAATATTCTTGAATTCTGACACGACCACAGTTTTGTTCCGATAGAACCAGGTGATTAGAGGGCGACACGCTCAGCTCAAGCTCACTGAGATGAACTGAATTGTTCGAATACTTCATTGGAGCGAACTGACCTTTCTCAAACGGTTGGGGAGTGGGTGTGGATGTGGGTGAGTGTGGGTGTATCTTTTGATTCACAACCACCACATCCACATCCACATCCACACCCACACTCGCACCCACACCCTTGACATAAATATAACACACAAAAATTAGCTTTAGAAAAGCTCGTTATTTCGAGATATACGCATTTTAATTTTGCGAAGTCACGTCACTAACAAATGATTTTGCCGTTATATAGCTTTGTAGAGCAAAACTTACCTTATCCTTTACGGCTTTATTCACTTTGATCTGACTAACTTTTAGGAAAACAAATGAGCAACATACTGAGAACGGGGAAAAAAGCATGATTATTATTTTAGAACTTTATGGAAGTATTTTCAATATTTATTTTATATATATTCAAAACGCATTCAGAGAATTCTTAAATTTCGTGTAACATAATTTCTCTACTAAACCATGAAGCATCTCTGAGGTACAAGTATTTTCGCCATATATTTATCATTGAAAAACTAGCAACCTGCAACAACCTTTAGAAAAATTCACAAACGAGAGAAGATTGAGATTCATTTGAGTCGTACCATAATCAAACTTGAATTAAATGGTTGTTTCTCTTTTTGTTTATTATTGTTTTCACAAAATGATGATGTGACAAAGACGTACACAAAAAAAAAGTATTTTTCTTTACCAGCATGATTAAATGTTCAATAGAAAAATGAAAGAAAACAGAAGGAAGACGATATAGACAACAAAAAATTAAAAGAAAACTAGGTACGATAAATAAAAATCATTGGTATGAAAACTACAGAAATATCGTTGTTAAATGATACATTCATTCCCGATTACCGAATAAACTGAGAATAAATAAAAATATATAAACAATATCAATATAAAGCATAAGTGATGCAAAAACATGATCTTCAGCACTTATTTCGTGTTGTTTTCCACCCATAATTAATTGTGTATCAACAGCCAAGAACTAACAATAGAAAAAAATTTCTTTTGATTTCTTAATTATTAAAACTTACAATCGAAAAAGCCACAGCTCCAAGACCAGCATAGACTGTATACAATATCTTTAAAAAAAAATAAATTTTGTTGTTTTGAAAAACATATCATAGATATTTTGTTATATTAAAAGTCTTACTCTTGAATAAGTAAAAGCACAAACAATTCCAAAGGCTAAAAGTGCCAATGAAATAACAAATAAAACTCCAAAGCATGATGTAAAATCATATTTTGTTTGAAACGAAAATAATGTAACACCAAAACAAACAAATGCTGTTATACCAACAGCAATTAAAACTGATTCAATTTTATAATATGCTGAAATCATACCCATCTAAAGTTTATACAAGACAACAACGAAAATTTAATAAATAAATAATATTTAAATTGAATCATACCATATAACCCATTGATAATGTCTAAAATTAAAAATTTTATTTTTTTAATTAATTTAATTTTCTATTTTACCAAAATGCCGAGTAAAATAATATTAAGTGGAAATTTTCGTGCTGCACGTTTCGAACAAATCAATGCAAGATAAGTAACCAGAAAAACAGCATATGATGCAAAATAAAGCCATCTACCATTTGAACTTTGCACGTATTCACGAATCGGTGGTCTATATTTTATATTATATATTCGTTTTCAATGACTTCTATTTAAAAAAACTACACATACGTAAAATGAAATAATGCAATAAGACCAAATGTAATTGATAATTGAATCATAAGAATTAAATAAACCTAATTTTATATAAAATTATTCAAATAAATTTCTTTACTTGTAGGTTTCGATTAAAACAAACCTTTCGGATAAATACACGGCGAATTTCTTTGCTTTCAAGACCACTAAAATCTCCCCATTGACCTCCACTTTGTGCATCATCTTTATAAAAGTAAAGATAAAAATCTCAATTACAATTTAAAAAAAAAGTAATTGATCACATAGATTAGCAAAGCATCATTTAGAAGTTTAAGCAAAAATTAACTTATATATTCGAATATGAATATAATTATAATCCTATAAAAATTCTATTTTCTCGTAACGATTTACTTATTTTACAAAATCGAACATACTAAAAGATCAAAATGAATACTGACGATAATCAAAATAAAATAGTCACAAGTTCGAATTGTTTTCTTATCTAAGTTTCGATTTTGTGTTTTTCAGAATATCAAAAACTCTATTCTAGCCGGTTCAAACAATTCAATCAGGTTATTGAAAATCATATGAAACACAAACATTATCGAAGTAAAATAGGTCCACTAAGTCGAAAAGGTGAAACTAATGATGAATCACTTTTACGATTGTAAGTTTTTGTGCTCTATATCAATAAATATGCCGGTGTACAGTGTATTATCAAGTGTGAGGGGGCGATACTACTCACAAGATCACTTTGCCTCTACTGGGAGATGTTCAGGCTTGTCGACTTTGAAATCTTCTCTCCTGAAGAGAAAATCTAAGCATCACACTAGTTGTGTACAACGACAAAAAGTCCTCATTTATGAGCGTACAGTGATTTCATATTCTTCATTCTAGATTTTTATCAGCTTCGAGTCTCACATAATTCATTTTGATTTAAGGGGGGCCCCCCCTCAGAAAATCGAGTTTTTCAGGGAAATATCGAAGTTGAGTTCTTATTATAGGAAGATGCAGCGAAGCTTCCTCTATCAGAATATCTATAGATTTTTTGAAAATGATCAGATTTTCAAAGACTTACCACATGAAACTTAAAATCTACTACCATGTTTTCGGAGAAATTTTCGTAGCTTTAAAGGTTTTCAGTTTTAGAAAATTTGCGTTCGGAATATTTTTATATATTAAGCGGCATGTCAGATGATGTTAGTTTACTGCATCAGTTACGCGCTTTTAAAAAGTTCTATGAAATATATTGGAAATATGCTATTTTAATGTGTTTTTTTCGAATTTGAACGAAAAACTCATTTCTAAAACTTCTTTAGCGTTTTTCTCAAAACATGGTTGCTAGACCGAAAAATTGAAATAACTCCCGCTTGGCTCGGCAGATCACCAATGTTTTTTTTTGTTTTAAAGGTCTCGATTAGAGCTAACTTTTCATGGGACGGATTTTTGATATTGAATCCCAGGACTAAGAAAAGTGGGATTTACTGTCGTAGAATCACACTTTTTTATGCTTATTTTGCAAGCATGCTCACAAAATTGCTCATCAAAAATGAATGGAAGGAAGTTTCAAAATTTCGTCCGATGAAAAGTTGTGCACAGAGGCTAGCTATAATTTGAAACCAACTCGAGCTCTTTATCCTTTCTCTGGACCGAGTTATTTCGATTCTCCCGAAAGATACGAAACTCAGCCGAAATTGCATTTTAGTCGGACATGTCAAGCTGAAATTTTTATCACAAGAGTTTCTCACTAAGACCAATCATCCCTGAAAATTTCAGCCCGAACGGAGGGCCCCAAGTGGGACTTCATTTCTGAGCGGGGCCCCCTTAATTGCTTATTTCATTAAACATAAGATAAAAAAACTTTTTTTTCTGCTAGATTTCAATTGAAGCTCTTCTTCATTTAGATGATTTTAAGATATAAAATGCAACCACAAACAGATCCTGTCCATGTATCTGTTTCTTTGTGACTTTACACTTTATATGTATATAGTAAGGGATTGAGCCTATTGGAGACAAAATTTTTGAGCCTAGATCTGACTGATCAAACTTTTTTCGGAGTCCGATTCAAACTGTACTTTTAGTTTGAAGTCTATTTTTTAGTATGAGTCTTGAAGTCGCTTCGAGGATGCGAGGTACTTTCTAACAATTATCTGCATGCTGATAGTAATATAGCTTACACGTTTCTCAGATAATCTCAATGGTGAGGATGTGGGTGTCGTTGTGACTCTCTTTCTTATTTTTCATCTTCTGTTTGTTCTATTCTTTCACAAGTATATGAACGAATAAATGGCAAAAGAGTCTTGCAACACTATATTTTCACAAATACAACTTATGAAGTCGACATATAAAATCATCGTGAGTGATTATTGGATGTGGAAAACATTAAGCTGAAGTTGACATAAAAATTAAGATACGGTAAGTTTGATTAGCAATTAATGAAATAGTTTAAACAGAAAATTAAACATTCTAGCAAGGAAAACCAAACATAAGCAACAAGAATAGGGATGGCACTTTTGTGTTACTTTACAAAAATCAAGATAAAATAAAGGATGCTGTTACAAGAGATCTTCGAAATGTCGTACTCAATTTTTCGAGCAAGAAAAAGGTTTTTCTTTAAGACAATACCGATTTTTCATAGAGGTTGACGAAAGGAAAGCGGGATCGACGAATCTGAATCTGCAATCAGTTTGTCGAAATTTTGAGTTAGATTCTTTCACATACGTTCTTTTTCTAAAAAATGTTGTTTTTTGTAAAAACAAAAATTTTCTTTTTGTAGAGAACAAGTCTTCGAGAAATAACAAGATTCTTCGGAATAAGGAATTTTTTATGAAAAAATTGAACTTAAAACTTTAAGGATTGGATTTCAGATTCGACTTTCACGATCCATATTACCTTTGGTAGTACTTTATAAAAAGTCGTTACTTTCGGCAAAAACCATTTCTTTCGAAAAAAATCGAGCTCAAAAATTTGAGAAACTGATTACAGATTCGGATCTCCGACCCTGCTGTTTTTTTCGTCAACCTTTGTGAAAAATCGTTATTTTCTCAAAAAATTGAGATTCAAGTTTTGAAAAAGCTCTCGTAACAACATCCTTATTTTATCTTTATTTTTTAAAGATAAAGGATTTATTTATCTTTATTCTTTATTATAAAGGAACAGTAAAGGTAAAGGGTCACCCCTAAACAAGAATGAAGCAGCTACTTGTATTCAAAAGTTTGAAAGGAAAATTAAAAAAACAAGTTGTCCATTGCATATTTAATGATAATCTCTGACCTATCTGTTTTTCTTACAGATAAATGCAGTTAACATATAACAATGAACGAAAATTGCTTTGCTCTATGTGAAGAACACAATGCACCTACGTAGTAGACACAGCAAACGAAGCTGAAGTTCATTTCAATAGCAAAAAGTTTTATACAGTCGTTACCAATTTCATATTGTAAAATAAGATTTGACCAAATTTACACAGTATAGAGAAAGACAAACATTAACAAAAAAAATATATTAACATTCATTTTAATATCTTGCGACAATGAGAAGCAGAAAGTTCAAACGTAATTCATTTTGTTTATAAAGAAAAATTCCTACCTCGATATGAATATCGAACATGAATCGCGCCTTTTTAACTTATATAACTGTAAGATAACTACACACGTAATGAGAATGAATAAATACACCTAAAGCACAGCAGCAATTTCTATGGTTTTTTTTTAAATCAAAACAGCAAGAAAAATAAATCATACATTAAAAATATTTTATTATCAAAGAATAATATCTTAAATAATATCTACTTTGAAATATTTACGATCTAAAAATATATCCGTATATCCGGCATTTGTGAATAATTTTACAAAAGAATTTCAATTATTAAAAGCTGTCAATGCAATGCAATTCCTGTGAGATCAGCACGTGAAATGCATATGTAGCTGTTGCTGTTAATCACAAGATGATTGGTGTATTCTATCTGTTTTGGGACACATTTTTTCACCATCCTTTTACGTATGCCTCCCAAAATGCAATAAGGAAGTAGTTATTATATTGTAACGAGTCACCATTCATCAACAAAATCTGTCACAGAATGTGGCGGGGAAAGGAGAATGTAAATTTCTACCCTATATTGTTGAACACTCCTACTCCTTTTATATCGTGTTTCACAAAATAAAACCAACCTTTAACAAAGCCTGGACGTGGTAAGACAGGAGGTACTTGAAATGGCATTTCATTTTGACCATTGCCACTACCTATAAGAGTATACGAATAAAGTATGAAAATCATTCAGTTGAAAGACGTACCGGGTCGAGGTGGATACGGCATATACCCAGTCGGTTCTTGAGTCATAGAAGGTTGGTAATTTTCGTATGGTGGATTAGATGCATTGTGGATATTTCGATCTTGACTCATTATATTTATTAATACTAAAAAAGACACTATATTTAATATATGAAAACAAAGTATTATTAGAGTAACTCAATTTCTTATTTAACAAAATGGCAAAATGACACTTCCTCTAGATCAATGACACTCATAGTCTGTTTTGAAATAGGAATGAATCATTGAATTAATATCAAAGCATCAGCACACTAGTACACTTAGTGATAATAGTTGTTTTGACACATGTTTCAAGGTTCTCCTTAATACTAATATTTGCTGCATAGGAGATAGTTTTTCTGATTGAGTCGGATTTTTTGGCTTCAATCTCATATCCTACTAAAGGACATTGTAGTCAATCTGTATCTAGATTGGTTAATTTGTGTTAATAATTTTCTAGTTTAAACACTGTTTTTCAAAAAAATAAAATTGCAGTTAGATAAAGAATAATTTTCTCTATCGATTACTATCAATCTTACATTGGGTCCGTCGTAACAACTCAGATAACGCCATACGTAGTGCATTTGATATTTATTCGCTTTAAGCTCTATATTTCTCCTGTTCTGTTGGGAGATTACCACATTATAGTTTATATGTGAGTCAAGGAGAAAAGAAACAGATTTATTGGCTTACCTGCTTTAATCAATGAGCGCAAAAGAACAAAAGATGGCGTACATATTTAAATCGATACTAGTGATTAAAAAACCATTAATTTAGATATTTGAAAATATGTATTCGAACAGAAAAAAATCAACAAAGAAGGGCACAGATGTGCATGTCGATCTTCTCTTCACTCACACTCATTTTCATCAGCTAGAACATTTGTGTAGTAATAATGCTTTGTTATTCCTTGGCCTATATATCGTGCCCAACACCAAGATAACCAAGCGTGTCAGTAAAATCAAGTAAGATCTATAATAAACAAATAAGTTTGATAAAGTACGCTTCATCAAAAGATTTTTCAAAAACGGTTTGATTATTTTGGTTACGTAGAATATATAATTCAAACAATAACTCACTATCAGTACTACACAAGTACTATAATTGTTAAAAAAAAATCATATTTTTCTCATATATTATAGAAACTGTATAATAATTACAAAAAGGAATTGAAGTTTCAGCCAGAATGGTCATCTTGATATATATATTAATTTATTTGCTCTGAATAAAGCCTTCAAGATGGAGAAATTGTGTAACACGATCGAAAACGAGTATCAAAATATAAAGGTAAAAAAGTTTTGAACCTTCCCACCTATCCCATACATAATGACAGACATTGGTGATATACGGTCATAGATGGTATAGCCACAATATATGAACTACTGTATTGCATTTCTAAAGGATCATAAAAAAAAAAACTTATGCAGGGATATGCGCCAATATATGTACAGCAGCAGTTAAATTATGTTTTACAATTTAATCACATAGAAACTGCTCCAACAGTTCTATTATGGTAATATATCGAATAGGTAATCTGAAATATCTTCAATAAACATGAATGTTTCTTCAATTATGCATTTCTTTTCATTATTATTGGCACTCTTAGGAGTAGAACAAATCTAAATGATTGAAGTTTGGGGTTATTTGATTTGAATTCGGTCTCGAATAAAAATAGTATGAATAGTTTGCGCTTCGATAACGATCATCAAACTGCAAACTATTTTATGTTAACGTAGTCCAAAAGCAAATCCATGTTTCAAATTGAAACTCAAATTTCGAATATAAATCCAAATAAATTCCCAAGTTCCTTAGTCTAAAATCTATTTTAGATCTGTTGCATCCATAGGCATTCGATATATCCTTTAATTTTCTTTTTATTAAGCTGATGTATGGTCGTGTTGGCAATGAAAAGCAAGAGAACAAGAAGAGATGAGCTGTTTAATCGTCAGTTCTGGTTGTTAATAGAGGCATAAGAAGGCCGACTCAGTCATTGCCGCTACATAAATATATATATCAGTTTTCCGAATATTTTGGACGCTTAGGACCAGTTTTCAAGGTTTATCTAATCCAGTTTCTTAATTAATTACCCCACAATTTCTCGAAACTAAGAAAATTTTTGGAAAGATCAACGAAAAATTTTAGCCACCGTCATCGATCAAACCATCAGTTGACGTCTGTAATTGCTAAGATCAAAAAAAAGTTTTCTTTTTACCTTTGACATTTAACCATTGATTATAGTGACTAAAGGTAAGAGGGAAAGCTCCGAAATTTGACTTAAACTCTCCCGCGGACAAAAAAAGTTCGTTTTTCTATTGCATTTCTGCACCGCTTAGTACATTTTGTTTTAAAAACAAAATATACCAAAAGATGTAGCATGAAA